TGTAATCTGATGTAAGTAGGTATGCAACTATGCAAAGCTCCCCTTCACAGAGGCCACAGCAATCAGCTCACCTCAAACGGGTTCAAATTAAAGTAGGAAGAACCAGGACGGGTCAATCTTTCAATCTGATTTTTGGATGTTAGAACTGAATCTCTCTTCTCTATTTGTTTCACCTAAAATTAAGGAGATAAAAATTTCATTAGTAAAGCATAGTAACAAATTGAATTGTCTATCTTGTTCAATGTTGTCTATGCTATTCAATGACATATTCTGAAAATACTTATTTGTGTGTCTACATGTACAACATGTTTTGTTAAATACTGTGAAGAATAATTACAATTACCATTTATTGAATTTTAAGACTGCAAAATCTTTACGGCTTTTACAGAAAGAGTGAAATTCCTTCCACTCAACAATATCCTATATGGTAGATACTATTATCCCCACTTCACAGATGAGAAAACTGAGATTTACAGGTTGAATTATTTCCAGTTATCAAACTTGTAAAACAGAACTTGAACCCAAACAGTTGGACTCCAGAGCAGGCATAAAGAGGATTCAAAGATCAATCACAGTCATCATCTTCAAAGACCTTCCATTCTGATGCAGATATACTTGTTATTTTCCTGTTTAATTTATATATTTTACCTTAAGAAAGGAAAAATAGTTATACTAAAATACATACAAAAAGCAGCATTTAAAATGTGCATAGGAGGATGCAAATAACTCTCAAGAAAAATGTCTGACCTGAAGACAATGCTAAAGAGAATAAAGAGAGAAAAAGAATAAAAGACAACAAAGAGGGAAGAGAAAGAGAAGGAAGAAAACAAGCACCATGTAGTCCCAGGAAAACATTCTTGGTACCACTCTCAGAGATGGAATGAGAGCTGGTATACACCATTTCTATTCCTATGGTTGAAAAGAGATTGAAAAAATTTTCAGTAACATAAAGCCTCATTACTTCTGAGCATATTCCTTCCTCATTCTTTTTAAAATAGTTTCCACCCTTTTCCATACTATCTATTTTTCCAGAATTGTATTTTCACATAGCAATTGACCTATCTCCTACATTTGTTTATCCTCCACAGTATGCAAGTTCTATAAAGAGAGTATTTTTGTCTCTGTTGTTCCCTGTATCTCCAACACCTAAGCAGTAGTACTCTAATACATGTCAGGTACTCAAAAAATGGTTGAATGCTGATTGGTAGATCTTCCTTTAGAGACTTTCTCTCATTCAATTGAAAAATACCACGGTTGCTTTTTTTTTTTTTTTTTTTAAGTAAGATGGTAAGTGAAACAAGTTCCACTATAATTGCTGAGCAGTCAGAGGCCAAAAACTTTGGTACCAAGTTGGAAGTTCCAGGTAAGGAAGAAGTCAATTCAGGATTGACTTTCAAATGATTAGAAGTTTCAAAAAGGCAAACCAGAAAGTATGTGCTAATATTCCTTTTTAAATTTGATACTTTGTAAAAACTACTATCTAACAGTATAACAAATATCAAATAAAAGATGAACAGTGAAATGGTGCTTAACGGAGCTCATAATCTAGAAGAGGAGGAACTCTATTCCTCAAATCAATGTCAACTTAATGAGGTCTATCTTCAACCTGCTTTTAACTCTGAGAAGGATACTTGTGCGTTAGATGTTAAGACCTCTTTTTAAAATCTCTAACTCTCTTAAAAACTCGTTTTAAATGTCAGCTCTGCTTTTGCAAACGTAAAAACTAAGGATCTGCAAAACTAATGCCTTGAAAGAATGCAATCTGTCCTGACAACTACCTTGTATAAATCCAATCTGAGGTTTTTTGACTCCAAAGGGCATGTCTTTTCTTTCCTCTACTCCTTCATTCACACAGTATTTCCTTAGTAACCACTACATAGTAGGAGCTTGAGATGCAAGAGTAAACGAGGCTCAGACCAAACTTACTCTCCTCCTAACATAATAGCATGCTGTTGTGTACTATAAGCTCCCGAACAAATTACTTCACCTCCCTAAACCTCAGGTCTGACATCTGTAAAACGAAGATAATGCCTACCTGGCCCGATGCATAGTGCCTGGCGTTCCCAAATGACATGAATAACTACTAATATAACTCATCACAGAGGACTAAGAGTAGAAAATGTTTCCGTTTAGAATGAAAATGGAGATCAAGATGGTTAAGTAGTTCCCGCTAAGGTCCAGCATCTGCCAGACCCTGTCAGACTCCGTAACTTCGCGCGCGCCCAGGCACTTCGTTGGCCACTCTCCTGGTCTCCCAGCAGGAGAGAGACCCGGGTCCCTTTTTTGTTGCCCAAGGGAACCCCAACAACCATCAGGGGGCGACGAGCACACATACCCCCAACCCCCATCGCCCCGAAGGCCAGACCGGAGGGGCCGCCCAACGGTCCAGGCCAGGAGGATCACTGCCTTTCACCCGCAGGAACAGTAGGGCCAGGCGGGATCTCCCCTCTGCCACTATCCCTCATTCAGTGTTCACCTCACTGTAGAAGGTCATAAATGCTTCCTCCGTGCTGCCTCCACCGCCCGAAGCCCCGCTCTCTCCTGGAGCCGCCATTTCCCCGGCCCAGCCACCACGTGACTCTTCTGCGCAGGCGCCGCCTCACGTGATTCTTACTGGTCCGCCCCTCTAACTCCGCCCCCTTCCCTGCGAACCTTAAAGGGCTCGCATCCCGGCTAGGCTAGTCTATGTAGAATTTTAATTCGGGTGAATTATAGGTAACCTACAATTAATCATTATAATGTGGAGAATTAATTACATTTACGGTGTTGTGCAACCACCACTTCAATTTCAATTTCAATTTCAGCACTTCAAATAGCTGGCACCTCTTAAGCAGTTACTCCACATTCTCTCTTCATTCCAACTACTGGCAACTAATCTGTGATCTGTATCTATGGGTATACCTAGTCTGGATATTTCATATAAATGGAATCACTCAATATATGGCCACTTACTATGTTTTCAAGATTCATCCAAGATATAGTATGTGTCATTACTTCATTACTTTTTATGGTGAATAATATTTCACTATATATATATATATATATATATCACAATTTGTTTATTCATCAGTTGGTGGACATTTGGGTTGTTTCTTTTAGATATTGTGAAATTGTACTGCTATGAACACGCATGTACATGTATTTGTTTGAGTACAATTTTCAATGGGGGGATGGGGTATATAATTCTCAAGCGTCACCATAAGTGACAGGAGTGTTGAAGTAACTTGCCTAAAAGTGAAGTTGCTGAGTCATGTGGTAATGTTATATTTAACTTTGTGAGCAACTGCCAAGCTGTTTTCCACAACAGCCAAACCATTTTACATTCCCACAGCAACATACAAGGGTTATAGAGGGCTGTAATTACTGCACAACCTAACTCACACTTATTTTTCCATTTTAAAAAATTATAGCCACCCTAGTGCCCAGATAATCTTTTACACAAACTCAGCAAGACCCTCTACTGAATGCCCAATCTAGGAAATAATGAAGAAACAGCAGTATCTAAAAACTAGGAACAGGGCCTCCCTGGTGGCCCAAGGGGTTAAGCATGCACAATGAACCAATACACAGCCTCTGCAGCACGGAGTTTGAGTTTGATCCCAAGCTGGCCAGGGAGCAACCACATGGCAAAGCAGACCTCTCCTGTCTCCCCAGCTGCTTCCCTCAGCAGTGTATTTCAGTCAATCTGCCTATTCTGTTCCCTACTCTGTCTCTGGTGAGTCCTCTCACCCCCCGACACCTCTCGCCTGTACCCCAGTTTTTCTAAGCACAAATAAATATTTTAAAAAATAAATAAATAAAAATTAAAAAAAATAAAAACTGGGAACAGTTTCTGAAATTGCAACGGTTTATGAAACACACCAAATTATCATTAGAATTTTAAGTTATGATTATTATTACTTCTATCCTTCTGCTTTTTGTGTTCTTCCAAGTTTTCCCACAATGACTATTTGAACGTGCCCTGCAGGCATTTCCTCCCATTTAGTCATACAAACCAGAGTTGATATTTACAAAATATCAACTTGATATTTTCACAATAGATGATCAATAAAAACAGTTCTATAATTTCACAGGAAGCAAGGAAAGAAAATATGGCCCAACATTCTCATCGAAAAGAGGGAAAAACTGGATCCAGCGAGAGAAAATGATGTAGGCCACGACTACTTCATGAAGGCAAAGGCTATGATTTACATTGTTAGATGGCTGAAGGGAGGTTAAGGCAAAGCGTTCCCCAGACTCTTCTGTTCTTATCCATTTCATTGCACCACATCGCCCAAAGTCCAGTTATCCAGCCCATTCGGTAACATAATAATGCATTTCACAAATACTAATTAGGTGTCTACTTGACCAAGGCCCTGATAATCTCAGAAGTTGAAAACTGCAAGGGTAGAGAAAGAAAGAACAAAACAGGAAGCTTTGCTATAATGACTAAGGTAGTTAGGGACGGTGTCTGTTAAGTGACACTAAGGAGTGAAATATCACTACAACAAAAGAATAGCAACACTTCTTAAGAGACTACTAAACATATACATTAAAAAAAAATTTCCCCGCAACGCTAAGTCGGGGCATCCTGGACATCAGCATCCTCAACATACCTCCCCCACCAACCCCTATATTACCCATATTTTTGATGCTGGTAGTCCAGGAGAGGGAAGGCTTCCTTTAGGTGTTTTATAACAACAACGTTAGGATTGAAACCGTGGTGTGAGGACAGACGTCAAGTCTCATTCTCACGAGCCCAAGAGCCGAAATCGCGGCTTCCTACACGCCTTCCTCTGCCAGGATCCCAGGCTCGCCCAGGGGCCACCGAGGCCGGGCTCGGATTGGCAAAGAACAGGCCCGCGTCTCGCTTCGGATTTGTCGCGACCCCGGTCCTCCCGCCTCCGTCCTCTCGTGATTCGCTTCTCCCGGGTTCACCCCGCCTCTCCCCGAGAAAGATTGGCTGCGGGCCACGGGAGCCGTTAGCCCCGCAGAGATGCTGCGCCGCCCGCGCCAGTGACGGGAAGGCGCTGCGGGAGCCATGGCCGTCGCGGCTCTGGCGACGCGGATGCGGCTGGGCGTGTGGGGCGCGCGGACCATGCAGGCCCGAGGCTTCGTCTCCGAAGGGGTAAGCGGGCAGCGGTCGCGGCCACCCCAGTCCTGGGCGCGGAGCCCCCTGCGCCCCCGCCCCGTGCCCACGGCCGCTCTCTCTCCCCGCAGGCCGAGGATGCCGAGTCCGGGGCGGGCTCCGTCCGGGAGGCCGGTGGGGCCTTTGCTAAGAGAGGGAAGGCCGAAGAGGAGCGATACTTCCGGTGAGGCCCGAGGGGTCCCGCGTCCTCCCTGAACGCCCGGGGCCTTCCTGTCTGTAACCCTCCACCGCCACGCCTATACCTGCTTGGTCACCTGGGCGCCCCAACCCATCCCCCATCAGGACTCGCGGCCCGGAGCCTGTTACACCACCTCGTGCCGCCCCCTCTGTCGCCACCCACTGGGTTCTTCCGGGGCCCAGCCGAATTGATGCAGAAACTCCCAAATCTATTTCCACTGGGGGTCTCCAGAACTCTCAGACCACGGTTCAGTGCTTCCTAAATCAGTGACCATCTCCACCCGTAGAGTTCTCTCCCCAGGTCATGCGAAAGCCCCTAAACTCTGCAGTGCCGATTCCACCGGTCACTCAATGTTTGAGGACCCTCTGGGCCTGACTCAGCCCTCACCCACCATTACCCCTCTGTATTCTTTCTTCCCAACACGCCTTTGCTTTGCAAGTTCAGCATAGATAGATTTCCTGACTATTCAGACCCTTTCAGCCATTTCTAGACTTCCCATTCTCCCAACACGGCCAGAGCTCCTGGGTCTTAAGAACTGGTGGCAGGTGCACATGCTTGGACTTCTCCCCTTTCCTGGAGACTTTTGCCCTGCCCATCCTGCCCAGCCCAGCCCAGCCCTGATCAGCTTAACTCCTAGACTGGATAGATTTCTCTCTCACTTAAGAGCACTGAGTGGGCGGGACCTGTTTACTCTTTTTTCCTAACACTGGGTTATCTTTTATTGACTTTTTTCCACAGTGGGGAGCAGTTTGAATTGATCTTGTTTCTTTGGCTTATCTTTTAACTTCTACCTGCTCTTTGCTTACTCTTAAGAATTACTGCCATGGTACCTGCCATACCAGAAAGCCCTCAATGGGCCACTACATTTTACAATTAAGGAGAACTGAGGCCCAAATGTGACTGAGCCAACATTTGAATTGCCCCTATGTGAGTCCTAAATTGGACTGCCAACTACTGCCCATGCATGAGAGACCCTTTGTTGGTGGTGGTGTTTTCCCCTCCTTCATTTTGGCCGTTACTATGGACTAGGCAAAGAAAACCCTACATAAAATGGAATAGGACTTAGTTATTTGTCCTTTAACTATATCCCTTTGTCTATTCCATGCCCCTCCTTTTGTTCCCCCCTCCAAAGGAATTTTGTACCTCTAATAAGGTATTGAGCACTTATGTCACACCTCTGTGGATTTTTCTACTCTAAAGAAGAATCTGAAAGGAACAGTTATTCATGATAGAATTTCAGGCCCTAGCTGCAGGAAAGTGCAGTTATTTTGGATATCTCCGTAAGATGGGTACATCTTAAGATGGAATATTCTTTCACTTCTGGAACTTGAGGGGGTTGAAGAAATGACCAACCAGTACCTTAGTTATTGTGGTAATGCTTAAAAGAGTTCTTATTGGGGTGAAGGATTGGGATTAAGCCCATAACCCTGTAACCTTGTAGACAGAAGACAAAAGAACAGCTGGCAGCCTTGAAGGAGCACCATGAAGATGAGATCATTCATCATAAGAAGGAGATTGAGCGTCTGCAGAAAGAAATTGAACGTCATAAGCACAGAATCAAGAAACTAAAAGACCATGATGATTATTAAATGCATACAGTTCCCTGCAGAATGACCGCATATTATTGCCCCCTGCTATGTAGAAGTTCTGGTTTAATTGACATATATCTGTGTGCAGCCAACACATTAAAATAAATTGTCATCAGTGAATGGAGTCTAATGCATTCTTCTATATAGGGAGGGGTAGGGAGACAAACACTACTGAGCCACTAAAATGAATAAAGGTGCTGGTTATAGGTTGCTCACAGACAAAACACAGTATTTGACACAGGAAAGTGCCCTTCCCCTATCTGATACTAGTCAGAGGTGTGCAGAGAAGGTTTCTTAAAGGATAAACCCCAATCCAAGATACAAGGTAAGGAGTAATCAAAAAATAGAGGAATAATTGCTCTTTTTTTTTTTAAGACTTATTTATACAAGAACTGGGGTACAGGCCAGAGGTGCGAGAGGGTAAGAGAATTCACCAGAGACAGAGCGGGGAGCTGAACAGGCAGACTGAAAACACTTCTTAGGGGAATAGTGGGCCAGACAGGAGAGGTCTCTGCGTCATGAGGGTATCTCCCTGGCCGGCCAGGAATTGAACCCGTGATGCAGAGGCTGTGGACAGCTTTACAACGCTGCGCTCAGCCTGCTGTGCCACCAGGGAAGCCCTGGAATGATTGCTTTAAAAGGTACAATCCAAGGCACCATCAGTAAGACCATTTGCATTTATAAAATGGATTTGAGAACTCATATGAAATGGAATTGAGAACTGAAATTACAAAATATTTATCGTCTATGGTTGCTTAATGCATTGGAATTAAGATTGGTGTCCAGGATTTTTTGACTCCCAATCCAAGTCTGTTAATAATAGACAATGAGAATTATTTCTTAGGTTTTATTTTGCTTCTTATGTGTGCTTTTGATTTTTTTTTTTTTTTTTTTTTTTTTTTTGCATGTGTGCCTTCGAGTCAACTTAGATTTTAAGGCCTTGTTTAAATTACACAAACTAGTAGTATGACTTCTCGAGGCAAAAAAAAAAAAATGAAATTTCTTTAACCATTAACAGGACATTTTTAATTCACCAGTTCTATAAATTTTTGCTCCAGAATTGTGAAGAGTCATTTGTTGCAAAACCTTAATGATTACACAAAGGCCTTCAGGGTTATTGAGTGATAAAAGCTTGGACAACTCCCTAATCCTGCCCTCACAGATAAGACACTTGGCTGTTTCCAAAGCATTTGTCCATGATGCTGCTAATGGAAAGTTTTATAGACTCTTCCGAGGTATGAATGCTGAGTGTTCAAGAACAAAATATCTTCAAAAATGATCATAGAAGTCATGTCTTTTTTCACTTTACAGTGATACAAAATTTGAAAATTGTTTGAACAAGTAATGAACATCTTTCATTTAACATTTTTGACTTCTAGAATCAATTGTCTTGATGAGAATGATGTTCCTGAGTTAATAACTCGATAGGGGTGCCCCATCTGTTATTGTCATTTGTTTTAGATAAAAGACCAGTTTGATGATAACTTAATGAAACAAGCATACAGTTGAAACTTTAAAATGAAGATAGTTGTAAGCTTGAACTTTTGAAAAGATTATATGAATAATTTTTGGAGTTGCATAATTTAAGACTACCTAAACTTGGCGAAAATGGTAATTCATGGTGTGTTTGTTAGCACATATGTGGCTAATTTTTCTGCCATGATATAAATATGATTTTGAAATATGTTTTAAAGCAAATTATGTGTGTTAAAATCCTAAGATAATTTATGTTATATGAACCAGAAACCACAGACAGATAGCACTGGTCTAAAGATCCAGAAGCACCCCAGGTGGGTCTTAGAATTTGGAAAATACTAGCGCAGGACTTTTTTGTTGGTTTTTTTAAAGATTCATTTATTTTTATACAAGAACCAGGGTACAGGCCAGATGCGCGGGAGGGTGAGAAGATTCACCAGAGACAGAACGGGGAACAGAACAGGCAGACTGACAAAATACACTGCTGAGGGGAACAGCGGGCAAGACAGGACAGGAGAGGTCTGCTGCACCATGTGGATTGCTCCCTGGCCTCTGGGGGTCAAACCTGTGCTGCAGAGGCTGTGACAGCTTCACAGACAGCTTCACAGTGCAGCGCTCAACCACCTGCCCCACCAGGGAGGCCCTAGAGCAGGGGTTCTTAAAGTGGCCACACATCAGCATCACAATTTGCATGTATGGAGCACTTTAATTATTTGCTCATAAAATTTCATATTTCTGGCAAATAGGCCCACCATTAGTTTTATTTTTTTTAAAGACTTATTTATTTATGCATACAAGAGCTGGGATATAGGCCAGAGGTGCAGAGGATTCACCAGAGACAGAGTCGAGAGTAGAACAGGCAGATCTACTGAAATACACTGCTGAGAGAAGCAGCAGGAAAGACATGAGAGGTCTCCTGGGCCATGTGGGTCAGCTCCCTGGCTGGGGATCAAACTCATGCTGCAGTGGCTGCCTGTAGCTTGATGGTGCTCAGACCTAACCCCTTGTGCCACCAGGGAGGCCCCATAGTTTTATTTTATAACCAAAGTAACTAAAGCAGGAAATTGTAAGAAGCATTCTCAGAGTCATGCAACTAAATCTCTGCTGAGCAAGCATTTTATTTCAGAACTCCTGTTCCCAAAGTCTTTAATTACACTTGCAATATAGTGGATCCACTGCCTATTAGATCCCTCCTCAAAGTGGGACAGATCATGGTAGGGGTGGGAGGAGCGTGCCTGGATGAGTGGGATGGATGGTAAAGACAAAGGCTCCTGGCAGTACATGTAAAAGTGCCAGTGGTTGGCTTGCTGTTAGCATTTCGGCTGCCACATGAACCCCTTAATCATGTCAGTGCACACCTAGAGGAGGCAAACCACTTCTGTAATAGAACCTAGTTTGAGACTTCCACATCTGTAAACCTAAAGTTGTAGCTCTCAGTCCAGGCTACACATTGAAATATGTGGGGAACTTTCAAACTAAGCCGATGCCTCAGCACCAATAAATCTAAATCTCTGAGATTGGAGCCAGGGCCTGGGTATTTTCAAAAAGCTCCTCAGGTTTTTCCAATATGTTGAAAACCACTGGTGTGAAAAATTCTTCCAAATCTGTTGCATGTGGTTGAGCAGGTTGTTGACTGTATCAGGACCCCTAATGGGAGAGACCAGGTAGAACTGAAAATTCATCCGACCCTCTCGTTTAGCTATGGCATCTGTCCTGAAAAAGAGTCACCTTTTGTCTCATTCCCCAAAAAAGAACTTTGGGTCCTACCACTATTCTTAACTGTACATTATCTCATAGCCTATGTATGCCATTTTCACATTTTAAAAAAATGTATTCACTTAAAACTATATTCAGCATCTACTCCACGCTAGTAATATAGTGGGAATACAACTAAAAAAAAAAATCACTACAAAATAATAATCCTGTCCTTAAGGAACACACAGCTATTGGAAAAGACTAGTGGTTAGACAATATTTAATGGCTGTGAGTGCAGAATGCTGGGGCAGTGGAGAGGGGAGACACTGGACACTCCACCCAGACCTGGAGTTCAAAATGACCTCATGGTGGAAGGGGTATAACAGCAGCCAGGTAAAAGGGAGCAGGTGGCATTCAAGGTTGAGTGACAGCATTTGAAAAAGCTGGCAATGAGAGAGGCCATTATTGGGGAATTGACAATAGTTCAACATGTCCATCTGGACTATGGAGGGAATGTGGTCATATTGGGGTTCAGATGATGAGGTTCCGTGTGTGGTTTCTAGGTCCCTCTGAGAGAGAATTCAGCAGATGTTCTTGTTTATTAGCACACGGCAAGTTTATGAAGGGAAAGAGAAAAAGAAAAAAACACCTGTGTAGACACAAAGGGAAGTCTAAAAGGACAAGAGCTGCATTTTTGAAAGGCTTAAGTTTAAAAAAAGAACTGCCTGCATAGACACAGGGGGCCAGGAGAGCTGAGTTCTGCTAGAGCAGAGGGAGTTCTTTTATAGTGTTCTCTATGGAATTATTGTGGAAATTACCATCTTGGGATCAGATTGAGCTGGTCTTCTGTGATTAATAATGCTCACTACCCCCACCTCTGCTGATAATCTTTACTGACCCCACCTCAGACGCCTGGAAACTTCCAGAGTAGGGTTTAGTTTAAGATTCATTAATAGTCCCCACTCCCACCTCTGGTGTTTGTCCTTGTGAGACCTTCCATCCTAAATTTTTGTACTCTCCGCTTCCATCTATAGGTTCTGCCAATTTTGTAAGTGGCGTGTACCCTAACTCCTCAATCCTTCCTTCCTCCTTTGCTATTTCCATCCTCTCTCCAAACTACACTCCTTTCCCTCTACTTAGGTACAGTCCTTTATTATAGCAAAAAACACTTGAACCCTACTTCAAGGACTAGAAAGGAACAAAAATCTTAGGATCAAAGCAAAGGAATAAAGAAACATGGGGACACAGGCCATTCCTTCACTTTGTGGCACCTACTACAGCCTCACAATTAGGTAAATTGATGTAAAATTCCTAAATTAATCATTAACCATCTACAGTGTAAGTTTCAGTGGCATTTAATATATTCACAATGTTGGACAAACCTTATTTCTACCTAATTTGAGATATTTTCATCACCTCCATTCCAAGCAGTGATTTTTCATTCCCCTCCTCCCAGCACCTGGTAACTATTAGTCTCCTTTCTGGCTCTACAGACTGGTCATTTCTAAATCTTCATATAAATGGAACCAGATAATATGTGACCTTTTCTGTCTGCCTCTTTCACTTGCATAATGTTTTCTCTCTTTTTTTTAATATTTCTTTCTCTTTTTTTTTTTAAAGATTTATTTATTTACACAAGAACAGGGGTACAGGGCAGATGTGTGGGAGGTGAGAGGATTCACCAGAGACAGAGTGGGGAGCCTAACAGGCAGACTGACTGAAATACTCTGCTGAGGGGAGCAGCAGCGAGACAGTAGAGGTCTGCCACGCAATGTGGTTTGCTCCACGGGTGGCAGAGATCAAACAGGCACTGCAGAGACTGTGGACAGCTTCACAGCGCTGTGCTCAACCGCCTGTGCCACCAGGGAAGCCCCTAAATATTTCTTTATTGCAGAAAAGAACGGGGGTATAGGCCACAGGTGTGGGGGCTGAGAGGATTCACTGAGACAGTGGGAGCAAAACAGGCAGATCCA